TAAAATTGTGAAATTCAAATATTTACAAATGAAATACATCCTTTCTTCTTGAAACCGAAAACTAAAAGTCATTGACACGTGTTTTGACTGAAAGAGAAAAGCCCAGCTGTATCCTCCCGCTACATCAGAGCCCCTGTGGCTAAAGGTACATATAAAAAACTCATTCAGAAATTGAACGAGATGTGACTTTTCCCTACCACTTGGCTATATGGCCCTGGCAACTGATAGCTTGGAAGTGATTGATCAATTTGTATACTCAGCTGTAATGATGCCTCTTGGTTTGGTAGTAGTAAGGCAGAAAAGCATCAAGAAATCTTAATTCTGGCTGGTCCGATGGTAGTGTGTTATCAGAACTTACTAACATTAGTGTCACTAAAGTTGGTATACAACCCCCCCACTACTAAATTTGACTGGCTTTAAAAAAAAAAAAAGAAATCTTAATTCTGATTTTGTGTATTTCAGTGGTGGAAAAAAAAGTTCTGGATTCTATGAGTGCCAGGCAGTAGCGTATTCAGAGCTTCTGGAATCATTTCATACAATTTCCATTATGGGATAGAAGCTGAAATTAGCATTGCCTATCATTTGGTTGTGAATTATTGGACATTATTGACATCTGTGCTTTCTGAACATTACTGCTGAGTTTCAATTGTCATTCCCATGAGGATGGGTACATTTTCCCACTTCTAAGATGTTCCTTTTGTTGCATGTCCTTGAAAGTTTATACCCCATGAGAGCCCAATTTAATTAACCTTTGGTACAATCCACTGGGGGCAAAGATTTGGCAGTAATTTTTTTAAAAGATTTATAGATTTGAGAAAGTACTTCCAAAAGAGGTAGGTGGCAGAAGCCAGTGGTGCTGGGAAAGATGTTTACGGCCTAAATTGAGCCCAGCATGGTGAATGCACACTGGCTTTTTCTGGAAATGTAGTGGTTGAATAACCTTCCTCCATTAGCCTGTCACCATGGAAATAGGGATAATCTGAGCAAGGTGGTGACCTCCACTGACAAACTGAAAAAGGTAATTCCTGGAATTAAAGTTACAAGGTGAAAAAAACCTTGTGCTTGACTTAAATCCTGATTTTTTTTTTTTTTCTGAGACGGAGTTTCGCTCTTGTTACCCAGGCTGGAGTGCAATGGCGCGATCTCGGCTCACCGCAAGCTCTGCCTCCTGGGTTCAGGCTTAAATCCTGATTAACAAATATTAATGTTTCCAGAACACTAACTACTAAGAGAAAATGGGCAAATACAGGATTACAAAAAAAAAAAAAAAAAAAAAAAAAAAAAACTCAGGAAAAGAAAAAACTTCTGTCTTCCCAATAGAAGCAATAGAATATACAACTTTTTTTTTTTTAAAGAAAAATACATTAATTTTGTTAAATAAAAACAGCTATGCTCACTAATTGAAATTTGTGGGAAGTTTTGTAAGTTCTTTGCTTGTTAGTGTGGAAATCAGTTAATCAAATTTGTATTCAGAAGCGCAGACAGCCATTTTCAGTGTGAATCCTGTGCACTTTGACAAATGTTGGAAATGTTTTCTTTTAGAAAAATTGTTAAACACAGAGACAAGGTGGCTGCAAACATTTCTTGCCCCTTTTCATGAAGGCTCTCAAAGCATCTTGTGAACTGAATAAAATTCAAGTGTCTGCACTGTTCCTGGTAAGCATTCCAAATCAGTATACCCTTGCGGGGTTTTTGCTTCCGAAATTGCCTTGTGGCAAGGCATGGTGGCTCATGCATATAATCCTAGCACTTTGGGAGGCCGAAGTGGGCAGATGGCTTGAGTTCAGCTTGGACAACATGGTGAGATCCTGTCTCTACCAAAAAAAAAAAAATATTCACGCATGGCAGGCCCGACTGTAATCCCCAGCTACTTAGGAGGCAGAGGTGGAAGGATCGCTTGAGCATGGGAGATTGTGCCACTGCACTTCAGACTAGGCAACAGAAGACCCTCAAAGTAATAATAAAAATAAGTTTAAAAAAATTACCCTGTAGGGCCGGGCGCAGTGGCTCACGCCTGTAATCCCAGCACTTTGGGAGGCAGAGGCAGGTGGATCACCTGAGGTCAGGAGTTCGAGACCAGCCTGACTAACATGGTGAAACCCCATCTCCAAGAAAAATATAAAAATTATCTGGGTATGGTGGCAGGTGCCTATAATCCCAGCTACTCTGGAGGCTGAGGCAGGAGAATCATTTGAACCACTGCATTCCAGCCTGGGCAACAGAGCAAGACTCCGTCTCAAAAAAAAAAAAAAAAATCACCCTGTAACTTACTACCTCCTCATAAGTTAAGTTTGCACTGTCCAACAGCAGGAGGAATTGGCTTGATAAGAATAATTAAACACGTAAAGGCAATGACTAATCTATAATGTCACCCCATATTCCTTAATCTTTACCAAGCCACTAGAAGATGGCAGAAAATACAAGCTGCAATTTCGTTCTTTTCTCGTGTCCCTTTTTCAAAACAGCATGGAAATTCAAAGGGAAAAAAGAGAAGTGACCTCTGTGATTTCAAAAACACAACCACCCACTTTTATTCTATTCCTGAGGAGCATATACTGGACCCTGCGGGAACTATAGCCTCGCGGGTGGGGGCGGCGGCCGGGAGGTGCAGGGCGCCCAAGCGGGTCGGGATGTGATTCCTATCTCTCTCAGGGCTTCACTGGACCGATCCACACTACATCACAAACTAATGGCTTTACAATTAATTTTTTTTTTTTTTTTTTTGGATACGGAGTCTTGCTCTGCCACCCAGGCTGGATTGCAGTGGCGCGATCTCCGCTCACTGCAACCTCCACCTCCTGGGTTCAAGTGATTCTCCTGCCTCAGCCTCCCGAGTAGCTGGGATTACAGGCACCCACCACCATGCCTGGCTAATTTTTTTGAATTTTTAGTAGAAACGGGGGTTTCACCATGCTGGCCAGGCTGGTCTCGAACTACTGACCTCAGGTGATCCCCCTGCCTCGGCCTCCCAAAGTGCTGGGATTACAGGCGTGAGCCACCGCGCTCGGTCCATAATTAACTTTTAAGTAGCTAAACTGAGTAATGGATGCTTACGTTTTAAAAAATATTATTCAGGCCGGACGCTGTGCGTCACTCCTGTAATCCCAGCACGTTGGGAGGCCAAGGAGGGTGGATCACCTGAGGTCAGGAGTTCAAGACCAGCCTGGCGAAAACCCATCAACACGGCGAAACCCCATCTCTACTAAAAATACAAAAAATTAGCTGGTCGTGGTGGCACGCACCTGTAATCCCAGCTACTCGGGAGGCTGAGGCAGGAGAAACGCTTGAACCCGGGAGGTGGAGACTGCAGTGAGCCGACCTTGTGTCACTGCACTCCAGCCTGGGCAAAAAGTGCGAAACTCCAATTTCAACAAAAAAAAAAAAAAAAAAGATGTTATTCAATTCAGCCGGGCGCGGTGGCTCACTCCTTTAATCTCAACACTTTGGGAGGCCGAGGCGGGCAGATCGCCTGAGGTAGGGAGTTCAAGACAGGCCTGGCCAATATGGTGATCCCCGTCTCTACTAAAAATACAAAAATTAGCCGGGTGTGGTGGCGGGTTCCTGTAGTCCCAACTACTTGGGAGGCTGAGGCAGGAGAATCGCTTGAACCCAGGAGGCGGAGGTTGCGGTAAGTCGAGATCGCGCCATTGCACTCCAGCCTGGCGACACAGCGAGACTCCGTCTCAAAAAAAAAAAAAAAAGTATTCAATAACTGATTTTCATATTTTTAAAGAAGTTAGAGACGCACGGAGGGAGAAATAACGAATCCCACACATGCGCGCACGTACACCGGTACTGACTTCCGGAACCAAACTCCCCCGGGCGCTTGGCCTTCCCCGCGTCACTTCACGCCGGTCGCCCGCACCTTCCACACTCTCAATGTACGGAGAGGACAGGTTCCATCAGCAATTTGATACGAACCATTGGTGAAGCACAAAAAAAGAACCTGACAATCTCTTATAACGTTTTTCTCTCTATTTTTCTCTTCTGTGTGGACAGGGGACTTTAAGTTGGCTATATTTACCCTCAAATCTCTTTTTGAAATGGTTTTTAAGTTTCAGCATCCCCCCACATTTAATGAAATGGTTTCCCCCCAGCAGCCCTGCCCGGTGCGGTCTGAACCATTCGGAACTTCTCGGAGAGGGGCACCGGAATAGGGTCGGCGGGAAAGGTGGTTGTCGGGCAGGGCCCTTGCTTCCTCGTCAGACCTCGGAGTGGCAGGACTCAGGATGTGTTCCTAGGCGTGCGGGAGCTGGCGAGGTGTGGCTCGCTTCGCGGTGCAGGACGCGCTCGAACGGCTCCCGCGCCCCCACCGCAGAGCTAAGCGGTGGTACGGCCCGGAGAGTCACGCGCCTGGGTCTCCGCAGGGGTGCGGGACCACGGGTGAGTGTGTCCGTTCCTGGCTCTGCCAGCTCCCCTGCGAGCCCGAGCCGGGGCTGAGATCCTCGCCGACCCGGCTGGTGTCCCTGCCGTGGGCTCGGGAGCCTGCCTG